GGGTGACTGTACAGGCAGCTGGCTGTTTCTGTCAACTCACATTTTTTTGGAAGTCACTTGTTTGCACTTCCTGTTTTATTAGGTAATATTATTTCCTTCTTAGGTCTCTGAGGGAGTTGAAGATTAGACATAGTTATAGTTAAAGATTAGAGTAGTTATAGTTATAGTTAAATATTAGATAGTTATAGTTATAATTTTCCTTGTTAAGAATTTCAGAAAAGAAACTCAGTAAAGAGGTGTAAGTGTATAAATTTGAAAGACATTATAAGATAGTTCTGTTAGTAATATAAGTTAGGATAGAAAGTGAATCAGGTACACTTTAGACTTACCAAAATAGGATAGATAATGGAATTATTTTCTCTGAATTTGTCAACTGCAAATGGACTAGACATTGCTTGTATATATTGTATATAGTTATTATACTTATTGTATATAGTTTTTCTTATATTAATTATAACTTTTTTCCTTTTTATTAGAATAGAAAGGGGAAATATGGTGATATTTTATTTGTGCTGAAATGTGATTTTATTTGCATCTTAATAAATAAAGTTGCCTGGGGGTCAGAGCTAATAGCAAGCCATTTAGCAGAAGTCTGGCAGTGGTAGCACACTCCCTTAATCTCGATCACATGGCAGACAGAATCTCTGTGTGTTCAAGGACACAGCCAGCATGGAGACACACACCTTTAATCTCAGTACCAACCTTAGAGACCTGGAGGTCTGTATAGACAGGCAGTGATGAGGAAGTCATGTGGTTGGGTTTACAGCCAATGAGAAGGCAGAACAGAAAGGCAATAAAAAATACAGACACACAGGAAGTAGGTCTCTTTCTGAGGAAAAGGACGGCAGCGACTGGTAAGCTAAAGGCTATTTGCTAGTGCTCTGACCTCTTGGGCTTTTAACTCTCTATTTGGCTCTGTGTTTCTTATTTAATAAGACTGTTTAGAATTACATTTACAGGCCATAGTTGGGGGGAAACAGGGTAATCTGATGGTTTTCATGGTAGTGTGAATGTGTTGAATATGTTTTCTATCTACATTTTACCATAGAGAAAAAAATGGTGTATAAAATTAATAGAAATGTTATTATATGGTAGATAAGAACATCAGTTCTAGAGACTAAATGTCTGGATCTCAATCTTAACTTGCCAGTTACTAGTGTACTTTTGTTTCCTTGTCTGTAAAACAGGCACAAATTTTATAGAGATTAAATAAGGGCTGTAGCTGTAGCTAGGTGGTAGGGTACTTGGTTAGCATACTTTAGGTACTTGGTTCCAACCCTTGCAAGATGGGAGGAAGAGAAAGGATGGAGAGAAAAAGAACTGAGTTTAATTTAGTTGTTTTTTAAGCTTTATAATTAAAAAAAAAATTTTTTTTAATGTTTGTGTGTTTTGCCTGCATGTATGTACTGTATGTGCCTAATGCCTGTTAATGGAAGAAGAGAGCGCTGGACTCCCTAAAATTGGAGTTATAGATGGTTGTAAGATGTCATGTGTGTTTTGGAATATTTGTTTAACTATGCAAAGATATGTTGCATTTGTTTATGTTGCAGAATATTTGTTTAACTATGCAAAGATGTGCTATATTTTTGTTTAATTATGTAAAGATGTGCTGGATTTGTTTTACTATGTAAAGATGTGTTGCTGCTTTACCCTGTCTGACTAAGGCACTGGATTGGTCTAATAAAATGTGGGACAGCCAGTAGTGGGGAAGAAGGTGTAAGCGGAACTTCCAGGCAGAAAGAGAGCAAGGATGGGGAGAAATTTAGGCTCGAGGAAGAAAGAGAAGGAGAGGACAGGGAGACACCAGGGGCTAGACAGACAGACATGGAGGAAGCAGGAAAGTAGGATGTACAGAATGAAAGAAAGGTAAAAAGCCCTGAGGCAAAACACAGATTATTAGAAACAAGTTAAATTAAGTTAAAAGAGCTAGTGGGATAAACCTAAACTAAGGCCAAGCATTCATAATTAATAATAAGACCCTGTGTCATTATTTGTGAGGTGGTTGATGGCCTAAAGAAAAATCTTAACTACACATGTGGGTGCTGAAAACTGAATTCAGGTTCTCTAAAGAATAACAAATGCTCTTACCCGTTGAACCACCTCTCTAGCCCTAAGCTTTATTATTATTCTGTGAGTGTGTGTGTATGCATGTGAATGCCACAGTGTGCATATAGGTCAGAGGGCCAACTCTGTAAACAGGATCTCTCCTTCTGCCTTTATGGAGGCTCTAAAAATCAAGCTCAGATCATCAAGCTTTAAGGCAAGCCTGTTTTTACTTAAGGGGCCATCACTGACCCCTAAATGAGTACCATTTTGTTTTGTTTTAGAGACAGGATTTCTGTAGCCCTGGCTGGGATTAAAAGGCAAGTGCTACCACTCCTGGCCCTCCAACAATCCTGTCAATTTCCACAGAAATGTCTGCACATGCATTGTAAGCCAAGATTTACTTCTTTGAGCAACATTAACATTTTGTTAATCAAAACTAGTAAGGTGCTTTAATATTAAAAAAAAAAAAAAAGATGAGTAATGTGGTCTTGTTTTGGGTTGCCTTAGACCTTTATGCTTAATTGCTTAATTCTTATCCTTGACATTTCTTATAAACCAAATTTCTTTTTTTTCTTTTTCTTTCTTTCTTTCTTTTTTTTTTTTTTTTTGTTTTTTTTTTTTTTTTTTTTGGTTTTTTGAGACAGGGTTTCTCTGTATAGTCCTGACTGTCCTGGAACTTGCCATGTAGTCCAGGCTGACCTTGAATTCACAGAGATATCCACCTGCCTCTGCCTCCCGAGTGCAGGGATTATAAAGGTGTGCTCCACCACTGCCCAACCCAAATTTCTTAAAAGCATACACACTTTGGTCTATGAGCCTTCTCTGTGAGTTTCTTCAGCTCAGTTATTATTGCATTTCCTAGTTTCTTCACATTCTAAACATAAAATGCTTAAGCTAAATCTAACCATTAAGAGGCACAGAAAAATAGTAACAGAACTAATTTCTCCAATTCTGGGTCATCAGAAACAAAAACAATTAGAAACCTGGCTTTCTCTAGTGGCAGCATAATACTATGGGGCACACATTTCCTTTTGTATATCTTTAAAAGATAATCTCTTAAATATTTTAAGGAATAAATTGTATTTATACAAAACTAAATATATATTGGTATGAAGAATAGCTCATGGTGGGACCCTCATTCAGACAATTAAAAAAGCTATATTTAAAAACACTTCAACTAAGAAAATTAACAAAAATATATTTGATGATAAGAATGTTGCTAAAATAATGAAAACCTGAAGGGTCAAGGCCCTGAGGAGAAACAGGTACAAAGATAAAGCTCTGATGCCCATCACTGCTGTCCCTCACAAGGCATTTGTCCTTGCCACGCAGGAATGCTAAGAAACAAGCTGAAAGTGCTGAGAAATCACACTGTACTGACATATAGACCAAAATCACAATAAAACATCTCAAGAGCACATGCTACAGGACACACTTGGGAGTTTATGTGAAACTTAGAGGTGTGTCACAAAAATAGGGGAAATAAAAGATTTGGTGTGTCTTATAAGGACTATAGATAAACTTCATTCTGCTCAATTCCTGTTGTATTACTCATCTAATTCATCTAAGGCTATATAACAATTTATCGAAGACTGTAATGACCTTTAAACAAAACAAAACAAAAAACATATCCTTATTTCTGTGGGTACAGAAGTAAAGAGTATTATAGTTGAGGGATCCTGGCTCAGGGTCTCTCATTAGAAGATTAACTCGAGCTGCACTGACCTAAAGGTTTAGCCAGTACTAAGATACAATCAACTTTTATAGACTGTCCTATTTGACCTATTAGAATTTTGTTTAAGATACATAAGTCTATTTTGTGGGTAATTTTTCATTTATACAATATTTTAATACTGATTTTTAGCATCAAGCTTTATTTCTTATAAAATGAATTTATGAATTTAATAAGCTTTCTTTTTTTTCATACATATTTAATGTTTGTATTATTTCTTCCTTAAATGTTTTATAAAACTCATCTTCTAAGGTGAGGTATAGTGGCACATGCCTTTACTCCTAGTAGGGCAGAGGCAAGAGGGTCTCTGATTTTGAAGCTAGCTCAATTTACACAGCAAGTTCCAGGCTAGCCAGCCTATAGAGAGCTGTCTCAAAAAACAAACGAAACATAAAAGCCATCATGGCCAAGCTGCATGTGTGTTACACTATGTGCACATTTTGGAACGGATGCTTAACTGCCAAAAACAGCTCCATAAACTACAGGTTGTTTCCGTACATAAAGTGAGTGTCTGCATGAGACAGCATGCACTGCTAAGTGGACACAGTTGCCTGTGAAGTGAGGGGACCGCAAAGCCTCGGCTTCTTGACTTGCATCATCAGCACCTGCTTTCCTCTCTTGTCACTTCAGGGATTTCAGAACAAACCGTCAACAAGTGGTAGCAGCAGACTCACTGACTGATGACTCCTGCCTTCATCAACTAAATGCCTTCTTAATAGATTCCCAACTTGACACCAAAATGCAGGCCAGGCTAACACAGATCCTGTCTCAAAGTCATAAAAACAGAAAGACTTTATCAGTATTTTCCACTACACCCCTTGAAACAGCACTGATCTAAGCCAAGCAAGCTTCCTTGCTTCTAAAAACACTCTTCCTACCAAACCCAATCCCTCAAGGCTACAGACCAGTGCTTTATGATACAATTAGACAAGTAAGTTCATCCCAGGTGGATGTTATCAAGATAACACTTTCAAAACAGAGGGCACCAAAAGTGATCCACTTATCACTATGACAAAGGTTGGAAGCAGCACAACAAAACCTGACACCTGATAATTCAAAACCTGAGTGCAGTTCAAACAACAACAGAAGCTCAGAGAACCAAGGGAATTCCTTCAGACTGTAGATGTGAAGATGAAGTTTTAAGCTACCTTATGTTTAACTAATATAACTATAAACATATATTTAGATAAATAAATTTATGCATTTTTATAGAAGTGCCTACCTTTCAGAAACAAACTCAACACAAGCTGATGACAAATTAACCCTTCTACTTGCTTTTTCTGAGGAGTTAAAACAATCAGGGTTCACAGAAGGCATTCTTTTACTTCGGCTTTTAACTGACTCTTGGGTCACACTCGAATTCATTGCCTCTGAATCTGTAACCTGTTAAATGGATGAGGAAAAAGAAGGTGAGTGGAAGGTAAAATTTCACATGGAAGAGTCTTACATATGTAAGTTAAAATATTAAATTGCTGAGAGCTGCTGGTAGCAATGGCTTTACCAGAGGCCACAAGAATATACAGCAGATGGCAATGGATAGTTCAGGTATTAACCCACCAGACAAATAATTCTCTAATGAAGGAACCCCATTCAAGCAAGGCTTACAGGACCAGACACTCTGAAAACCGGTTGCTTCTGTCTGTAATTTTCTCATGTGCCACTACATTTCTTCCCTAAAAACAGCTGTGGGGTTCTCCCATAACCCATTGGTGGTGTTTTGTACTTTTGGCACACATATATCTGTGGATGGTCAGAAAGATGATTTCTTCTTAAGCTGTATAATTTTGATGAATAGAAATATACTAGGATATGCTTCATAACTAGCTCCACAAGGACTGTAAAACACTTAAGCCTGTTTTATATCATTAACTCAGACTGACATAAAGAAGACAGCAATTTCTCCTCAGTTCTAAAACAAGTTGCATACAATTAGCTGATTTTAGGTCTCAGAGCAAACTCAAACTATGTTTCTGTGAATGGTGTTAAGTTAGACCTTCATAGATAATACACAAGGACAAATTCCCAGGTGTCTGATCTGTTGAATCAAGGTTTTTAGACACAAAGCAATCTAATTACTATGCCCAGTTCTGGTTGATAACACAGACCAGCGGCTACTGCCTGCAAAAATTCCTCAGCAGCTTGTCTCACTGGGCACTGTGCCCCCAGCCTCAGGTTACAGCCTGAACCTTGCAGCTGGGCGTTGCCATGGTTACTCACTCCCCTCAGATGTAACTTTTTATTGGTTTCATGGGATGTATGAAGGGGGAGGCAGAACAAGAGGAAAGAGAGAAGCTTGAGAAAAATAAAGAAAACAATCATCAGTATGTGTTTGGGTCTTATTCCCTCAGATAAATAAGAACTATTCCTAATTCCTGCTACTCTGAAGGCATTCTCTTTACAACCCTAGAGCAGTTCTGGGAGTTAGTCTCTCAGACTGCAATATTAAATGTTTTGTACTTCAATGGCTGATGACCATAAAGGTGATTTCTCTGCCAAAATGAGTCAAGGAAATTAACAATGACATTACAAACCTAGACTGTGAAAACAGGACAAACAAATACTGAGATACTTAGACATCATCTAATTTCTAGTAGTCTAAGTTTTAAAAACTAAAATAAAAGAGTGATTTTTAACGTCCAGTTGTTAATGTATTTAAACCTTGGACTCCATGCCTCAATTGAGAATGAACATGGCCTTTTGTAAGGGGCAGCATGAAAAATAAGGTAGACACACTAAGGCAGAACTCTGAAGTGCTATTATACTAAGCAAATTGATTTTATATGTGAATACCCTTGGAAAGCAAAGAGGAACAGTTTCCATTCACTTACAGGACAAGGTAACATAGATTCACTTTCTCCCTCCCCTCTACTCTTATCTCTACAACATTACAGGCATGTAAATAATAATTTAATGGGTAATCATAAAGCAACTGAAAAATTTAATGAAGGGAGACTGGCTAGAGACTTCATGATAGTGAAGTATATGCTATACATCATACTAGATTATAATGACAACAGACATCTCTCCATCAATCATTCCAAATATGTAGTAGTGGTTGGTGGTGATTCAATCCCAATACTAGAAGAATCAAATGTTCCATTTCATAAACCACAGTAACAGTTGGGTGAACACTGGGGACAGAGGAAGTCTAAATGGCTGGCTGCAGCAACAATAGGAAGCAGAGCTTAACCAAGGACCAATCCCCAGAACTGCATCCCAGAAAAGCAGCCAGCCAAATCTACTTCAAAGACAATATTGCCCTCTTCCCACATGTAAGCCAGCAGCAGGGCACAGACTAGCAACAGTTCTCAGCTCTACACCAGCGAGAACCAGCAGGCTCAATGCACTCTGTGACTAAGAGCACAGACCAACAGTAGTGGGGATTTAGGCAGTGCCTGCAGGGACAAACAGGTAACCATGAGGAGCCCAAAGAATGAAGCCAAGCAAAAGAGCACACAAAAGCCATGAAAGTAAATTGTTATTGAAACTACAGCTCTGAAGAAGCCAGGTTGTACATACTAAGCCTAAGTAGAGTACCCATTAAGGGAGTAATGTGGCAAATACCATGACTTTTTGGTCCTTCCAAAAGGTGGTAGCTATATGTATCCTTGTACCTCAGAACTGTTTTTCTGACCACAAACAATTTTAGAGCTGTATTCTGGATATGCTGAGAATTTCCCAGATCATCAAGTCCTGGTTCCTTTTCGTAACAATCCCTCCTTCAGTGTCACTTCTGTACTTTTCACAGTTAACTTTAAAAAACAAGAACCCACCATTGTTATCTAAGCTTTCTGTCCTTGTTTGGAAGTATATTCACATCCAACAAGCCAAACAGATTAAAACTTCTGTGTATTTATACGAACCTCACAGACTGTATTATTGGGTAATGTGTTTGGTTCCAAACAATTTCCTTGAGATGATAATACTGTTTTAATACGTCTTTGAAGTCTTCTGATTTTTATCTAGAAGAAAGAAAACTTGGGTGTCAATCACACCAGGGTACTAAATACTACAAAAGAAGAATAAAAACTATTTGACCAAGTAGTCTTGTGAAATGTAGGCATATACTTAAATAAATGAAAAGATCTTCTTTTCCTTTATAACTCCAGGCCCCAATGACTCCCAGAAGGGAATGCCTTCATTCTTTCATTCCCTTAGCTAGCATCTTTACTTTTTAAATTTACTTATTTATTTATACATGTGGTCTGATGTATTACAAGCTAGCCTTGAACTCCCTATGTAGCCAAGGATGTCCTTGAATTTGTAGCTTTCCTGCCTCTATCTCTGGGTAGTGGAGCTGTACATGAGCATACCCTGTTTATGCATGCTGCATAAAGATGGGATCAAACTAACTAGGTCATCTACCCCAGTGAAAAACTGCTGGTGGCTGTGTGAGAGGAGCAGCAAGTAGCAATTGAAGTTCAAGGTGTCAGCCCATCAGGAGGAAACTCCCTGATGGATCAATCTTGGACAGGCATGGAAACATACCATTCTACTGGGCATTTTTATCTGTGGATTGTTATAAAGATGATCTCTCCCTAGGCTATACTGTCTAATTGATAACAATAATAGCTTTTACAGAGTTTTGATGAATAAAAATTAAATAATAAGGAAATGTTACACAGCTAGGGCCTACAAGTTTTACTTAAGAAGCTGCATAGATCGCAGTTCAGGTTAATGATTTAGGAAAACAACTGAGTCCCCAGGAGCCAGGCTAGCTCTAATTCTCTTACTGCTGAATGATGCAGTCACAGGTTTCGGTGTGCATCATTAGCTAAAACAAAGCCTTAAAATAACTTCAGGTTAGATCAGATGTTTCGATAATAGCATTAAGAAAAATGACCCCAGAAAATAATCTCAAGATCACAAGGACACATAGCTGGGTTATAGATTCATTAGGTTAAGGTAAAAAATACAGAGCAGTCCAATTGTCACTAGCTGATGTATTTTCCTTGCTAGGTTTGTTTGGTAATCAAAGGTGATGATTAATTCCTTGTTTGCATTTTTGCCCCCAATCTCCTGATATAAGAAACTATTGATGGCCTTTAATCCCAGCACTTGGGAGGCAGAGGCAGGTAGATCTCTGTGAGTTTGAGGCCAGCCTGGTCTACAGAGTGAGTTCCAGAAAAGGCACCAAAACTACACGGAGAAACCCTGTCTCAAAAAACAAAACAAAACAAAACAAAACACAACACCTATTGATGAGTGCACACCAAAGATTTAAAGTAGAGCTGACTGACTCTTTTTCATATATAAAAGTTTAGGTTTAAGATTCCTTATGAGATTATCTTTCAAGATAAGTAATAAAGCAATTGGTCCTTTTTTTGTAACTACAAAACTGCAGCCTGCCAGTAAAAGACCTGACTGAGAAGAACATCTTGCTTGCCTACACAGTTAACCTATAACAAGTTACTTGGGTATGAATGTATGTGGGTTATTGGAATAATTTGTTTTTCACTTGTAATACACACAGTGTTTAGTCATGTAAGGGATATGGAAAACATGTTTTTAACTGTTTGTTTTGTATTCATTGTAATCATTCACTTGAAAAACAGAATGTAACCACACTGTAATTTTTATATTGCCTGAAAGATTTTGCTGGGGTATATAAGCTGTAAGGGAAAGAACAGAGAGAATTAAAATGAGTTAGAAGGAAAACATCAAGAATGAGAGAGTTAGAAGGAAAACATCAAGAATAAAGATAGAGTTAGAAAGAAAACATCAAGAATGAGAAAAGGAAAATCACCAAGAAAATAAAGAATAGAGAATCAAAGAATAAAGAAAAGGTCTAAAGTAAGAGAGTGTGTGAATATCTTTTTCCCCTTAACCTCTCAGATAAAAAAGTCATATTGGGTGCCTACACTGTGGATTTCCATTTGAGCCCTGAGCTGTCTGGAGGCTGGCCCCCCAGGCAAAGATAATAAATTCCCACACACTCAACATTTGCTATCCAAAGAGGAATGTTTCTAAGTCCCATAGATACAAAAATCTGCACATTAAAACCATACACACAATCTCTTGTGCACTTAAATTATCTTTAGATTACTTACAAGGTCTAATACAATAAGAATACTATTACATAGTTGTTACAATGTACTGTTCAGGGAATAATGACCGGACAAAAAGATGGTACACACTCAACAGAAACACTTTTTCCCTGAATATTTTCAGTCTGTCTGTGGTGGCGCATGCCTTTAATTTCAGCATTCAGGAGGCAGTGGCAGGCAGGCCTCTGGGATTGAGAGACATTCCTAATCTGTATAGTGAATTCCAGGACAGTCGGGTAGTTGAGGCTATGTAATGAGACTCCAAATCAACAACAAAAGAAAAAAAAAATCAGTCTGCAGTTAAATATAGACACAGAACTCAAAATGTGAAAAACTGATAAATGAGGCTGTCAGCTACTTAAGATGGTTAAGAATGGAAGGAACTTGTTCAGATTGTTCATGGTTCCAATTCTAAAATCAAGAGGATTTTAAAGGAGAAGAATATAGAGTTCAAAACCAACCTAGACTACATATACCCAGATCCAACCTCAAAAAAGAAAAACATGAAAGATAAAAAATAGGAAACTTAATCAGTCTACAATAAAACTGATGTTGGTAAAAACAAACAAACAAACAACAACAAAAAATACCAGACCGTAACCCTAGAAAAATAAAAAAATTTAAAAAAAAAATAGGAAAAAGAAAGGCAGAGAGTTTGAAAGATCTTAAAACAGATTGTGTAAACTCTAATAAAGCACATACTAGAATATAAAGAAAAATGCCCACGTACTACAGATAACCATCAACAGACACAGAATGCCTACTAGGACTAAGATTAAACTAGTAGGTCTTTTATTGTAGCGGTTGTCAAGCTGGGGGTTGTATCTCATATCCTGCATATCAGATATTTACATTACGATTCATAACAATAACAAAATTACAGTTATGAGGTAGCAACAAAAGTAATCTTATGGTTGGGGGTCAGCACAACATGAGGAACAGTATTAAAGGGTTGCACACTGGGAAGGCTAACCACTGTTTTATTACCTCCCTTTCCCAACATACAGAATATGACCACACTCCACATATAATAAAAGGAAGAAATAAAATTAGAAACTTACAAAGAGTTCACCAGCTATTGCTTCATGCTTCTTCTTACACTGGGTCTTCCCAATGCGTTCATTCAGTTCATTCAGCTTTTTATCGAACAGATTACAATTTATCATGTAGATTTCCTGTCGGATCCAATGTTTAACCTAGAATTTAAATAAAAGCCAAAACATGCCAGTTTCAATTTTCAAGACAATTTTACTTCCTGCTTTTTATTTTTATGTGTATTAATGTTTTGCCTGAATGTAGGTATGTGCACCATGCACAGGGGCCAGAAGAGGGTATCAGAACTCCTGGATAGTTACAAGATAGCATGTGGGTTCTGGGACTTGAACCAGGGCCCTCTAGAAAAAGAGACATTGTTCTTAAAATGTGAACCATCTCTCAGGTCCACTCCTACTTTTTTTGAGACACTATTTTTCACTATGTAGCCTCAGCTAGTCTGCAGTAGACCAGACTATCCTCAACTTCAAAGAGATGCACGTGCCTTTGCACCCAGGTGCTGGATTAAAGGTGTGTACCTCCAAGCCCAGCTTATTTTCTACTGCTTAAAAATTGCTTGACTCTTTCCTGATTTTTTTGTTTGTTTGTTTTTGAGACAGGGTTTCTCTGTGTAACAGCCCTGGCTGTCCTGGAACTCACTTTGTAGACTATGCTGGCCTCCAACTCACAGGGATCTACCTGCCTCTGCCTCCGGAGTGCTGGGATAAAAGGCATGCACCACCACCGCCCAGCCTTCCTGATGTTTTATAATGACACACTGCTACACATTACTATACCAGTATTATAAAAACTGAACGTTAAATTTTGCACAGTGTGTCTAATATTTAAAACAAAAATAAACATGTTAAAATTAAGTTCATCCTCAAAATAATGACTACAATTCATATAGTTCCAATTGACTACTGTTTTCATAATGTATATTAAGCACAGTGTATACCAACTGAATAACACAATAACCATAATGAATTACAATCAGACCCATCAAAACAACAGAGTACAGCTATTCTACTAGAACTGAAGATTATATTTCTTCCCCTTTTTGTTTGTCTTTTGTTTTGTTTCTTTGAAATAGGGTTTCTCTGTATAGTCCTGCATGGCTGTCCTGGAACTCACTCTAGAAACCAGGCTGGCATCAAACTCTGAGATCTACCTGCCTCCGCCTCTCCCGAGTGCTGGGATTAAAGGCATGTACCAACTAGCCTGGAAGATTATATTTCAATTCCTAGTTGATCAGACAGATGGACCATAAAGAAACAAATAATTTGGACAAAAATGAAAGCAATAAGTATATTTAATAGTGTTATAAAAAGCAGTATACCTACGTTAGTTTGGAAGAGGAGGTATGTAAGCTGAATGTATTAAGACTGAAATAGTAACTGTGATGTGATAAATAAACAGCTATTGCCGGTGACCAAGAAACCCCATGACCAATACAAAACGTTGGATTGTCAAGTAAAGCTCAAGGTCATCCCATGTTTGACTTAGACATTTAGCAGCTTATTAATTTAAAAAAAAATCTCTCTTTCTACAAGACTTTTACAGATATGTAATTCTGTAGATTTGGTGTAGAATCACTCCAGAAAATAGAAATATATTAGTAATATAAATAATTTAAGTCTTAATTAATGTTTTGCTTACATTATGACCTAGCTAGTTTATGTCAACTGGAAACAAGCTACCTAGAATCTGAGGGACTCTCAAGTGAGAAAATGTCTCCATAAAATGGAGTTGTAGGCAAGCAAGCCTGAATGGGATTTTCTTAATGGTGATTCACAGAGGAGAGACCAGTCCATTATGGGTTAGGCCATCCCTCAACTGGTGGTCCTGGGTTCTATAAGAAAAGAGGCTGCCGGGTGATGGTGGCATACACCTTTAATCCCAGCACTCAGAGGCAGAGAGGCAGGTGGGTCTCTGTGAGTTTGAGGCCAGCCTGGTCTATAGAGTGAGTTCCAGGATAGCCATGGATATGCAGAGAAACTCCGACTGGAAACCTCCCCCCTCCCCCTGGCCCACCAAAAAAAAAAAAAAAAAAAAAAAAAAAAAAAAAAAAAAAAAAGAAAGAAAGAAAGCTAAGTAAGCCATGTGAAGCAAGCCAGTACACAGTACCACTCCATGGTCTGTCTCTGCATCAGCTCCTGCCTCCAGGTTCCTGCCGTGACTACTTTCCTGGATGATGAACTATGATATCAAAGTATAAGCCAAAGAAATTCTTTCCTCCCAAGTTGCTTTTAGTCATGGTGTTTCAATAATAACCCTAACTAAGACATATTGTAAAGGTGTATGTGTGTGTGTATGTGTGTTTTGAGGTATGGTCCATGGAGGGAAGAGGTATCAGATCCCCCAAGCTAGAGTTATAGTTTATGAGCCACCAGTGCTGAGAAATGAACTCAGCTTTTCAAGTGCTCTTAACTTCTGCTCGTTCTCTCTCTCTCTCTCTCTCTCTCTTTCTCTCTCTCTCTCTCTCTCTCTCTCTCTCTCTCTCTCTCTCTCTCTCTCCCTTTCAACATTTTTTACTAATCAGAAGTGCAAGTTCCTAAAGAAAATATTTTAAGCCCAACATTACCTGTTCTAGCAGTGCTGTATGCCTTTCCAGAGCTACACAACCATTTTCATTAATTTGCTCTGAAGCTTTCATGAGCTTAACATTTTCTTTGTTTTCTGAAAACATCTTCTGATTATAGCCTAGAAGAGATAGAAAGATTACAGGTAAAAGTATTCCTTCTTTTCTTTTCTTTTCTTTTTTTTTTTGATTTATTTTTTTTATTATGTATATAGTATTCTGCCTGCATGTATACTTGCAGGCCACCCCAGATCTCATTACAGATAGTTATGAGCCATCATGTGGTTGCTGGGAATTGAACTCAGGACCCCTGGAAGAGCAGGCAGTGCTATTAACCTCTGAGCCATCTCTCCAGCCCCCAAAGTATTCCTTAAGAAGGAGATAAACACTCTAATTCAAGGAGTCTAATCAAGTGGAAAAAATACAGTATGTGACAACAGTAGTACTCAAACAATTTTAATTAATAATTTTTTTTTTAGCTGGGCATGGTGGTACATGACTTTAATCCCAGTACTCAGGAGGTAGGGTCAGGTAGAACTCTGTGGGTTCAAGGCAAACCAGTACTATATAGCCAGACCCTATCTTAAAGAAATATATATTTAAAGTAAATGCAACTGCATAAAAACATTTCCATATAATGTCCTTTAAAAAAGAAATCTTAGGTAGGATTCTGGTCTCAGATATATAAACCCTTTTCAATCTTGTTTCACAGGGATAACCACTGGGCAAGGAGGCACATAGTTCAAATTACAGCATTTGGAAGGTGGTAAGAGAATCAAGAATTCAAGGCCAGACTGGGCTATATAGTGAGTGAGACCCTGTCTCACCAAAACAAAAACATGAAAAAACAACAAAGCCTTCCAAACACATAAAACAAACAAACAAAACACAAAATGAAACCCTAAATAAATTGTATAATGTAAGCCTCTCTATATATAGTCACTTAAGGAATCCATTACTTTGATGAAGTTATTCAGCAACTTAAATTAACTTTAAAATTATTACTATGTAGTCTGCACATAAACAAAAGATTCTACATAGTATGGGCATGTGTACATTGTACATAATGTGTGTGTATGAATGCCGTGACTTTGGGTGTGGAGGTCAGAGGACCTCTTTGTAAAGTCAGTTCTCTCCTTCCTCCTTTATGTGGGTTCCAGGCACCAGGCTTTGAAGACAGCATCTTTATCTGCTGATCCAGCTTGCTGGTCCTAATCAGCATTTTAATCAACCAACATAAAGATCCTACGTCTAATGATATTTATTTTGTTATTTAATGATCTTATAACTCCAGCTCTTCCTTTTTTAATTACTTGGTTTCTCTCCAAGTAGCTCTCTGTAGTTGGGCATATGAATGAACTACATCTATCTCTTATTTGGTATATGATCTATAAATCAATTCTATGCAAATAAATAGATTTACCAACAACTTAATGTACCTGTTCTCTAGGAGGACTTACAAAGCTCCACCTCCCAAGAAGCTATCGGCAGTTAATGTTTACAGAGGGAGGGGGAGGAGACATTTTAATTTACTGGTGTATCCACTAGTAAGATACCCATGTTCCTTTAATCAACAGTAATTAAACTCACGGGGTCACAACAAGCAAACAAACACCCATGAAGGTAGAAGAGGGATTACTTGGCTAATCCTTTCCCTCTTTTGCTGTGCTGGGATTCACCTAAGAGATAATAATGGGGTAGAAGGCAAATATGATCAAAATACTTTATGCATACATGAAAATCTCATAATGAAACCCATTATGTATAATTAATAAATGTTAATAAAAATCTATAATCTAATAAACAGAACTTAAAATAACAAGAGATATAGTTAAAGTAAATCATCTTCCATAAACTTCTTTTTGAGATTTTCTGTCTTCACATGGGAAAGTGATTACCTTTTTTAGATAATATTTCACTTTCCTTTTGATATATTGGATAGCATTAAATTGAATGAAGTGTGACCTAAGTCTCCTTGCACACTTATTTGTAGTTTGGCGTCAATGTCTTTCTGTATGTGGTAAACTGTAATTTTAACTTGATGTTTAAAGATTTATTTATTTATTTTGTATACAGTGTTCTGCCTACATGCATGCTTGCAGGCCAGAAGAGGGCACAAGATCTCATTATGGATGGTTGTGAGCCACCATGTGGTTACTGAGAATTGAACTCAGGACCTCTGGAAGAACAGCCAGTGCTCTTAATGCTGAGCCAACTCTCCTGCCCCTTAACTTGATGTTTAAACAGACTGTGGCTTACTTTTTTTTTTTGGCCTGACTGTATCGTGTACATGCCTGATGCCCTGGGAGGCCTGAAAAGTGCATCCGATCTTCTAAAACTGGAGTTATAGATGGTTGTGAGCCAATATGTGGGTGTTGGGAATCAAATCTGGGTTCTCCAAAAGAGCAACCAGTGCTCTTAACCACTAAGCCCCTGTAACATACTTTTATGGAAATAAACTTTCAAAACTCAGAGGTGTTTAAATGACCAAGTAAAACAGACACACTAACCAATCAGGCTGCTACTTCTCTGTATCTCACTTCCTATAATTTTAATCTGCCCACATGATAGGATGGTTTGTTGTTGTTTAGATACAGGGTCTCATGTAGCTTAGTCTGGCCTCAAATTTGCTTTGTAGCTGAGGATGACCTTGAACTTATGATCCTTCTGTCTCTACCTCTTTAGTACTCCGGATTACAGGCAAGCAGGTGCCACAATGCCCAGTTTTATGTGGTGCTGGGGACTGAACCCAGAGCTTTGTCCACACTACCAATTGAGCTACATATACCCCCAGCCTCAGAAAAGAGCTCCTTTGAACAGTATTTGGTCCTGCCTGTTGCCCAATTCTAGCACTGCAAATAAAGCCAATAATTACAGTGATTAACTATAATTTTCTCCTTTAACAATGTATCTTTCCATCTCACAATCAAGAACAATTTATAAACAAAACAGCTTAAAACATAGCCATCATTTACTTTTTGTCATATCTATATGTACTCTACTTTTTGGTATATTGGAGACCTTCAAATACCCCTAAGGAAAGTGACTATTTGAATTTCTCCAAAAGACACAGAGGCATAAATTGACTGTGTGGAGTATTTGCGGGAGGAGTCAGTAGATGGCTTGCCTTTGTGTAAGGATATATACAACCTGTCCTTCAGTGGTCCTGATCTTGTTTCTAAACATTTTCTTCTACTGCTTGAATTAAATTCTGGAAGAATGCTATACTTTCCTGTGAAAATACTGAATTACCATTACAGTAAAAGAGGAATCAGCATTCCAGAATGTGCACACTTGCTAGCTATAAGCTCAGATTACCATTTGGAATATTAGTTCCAACTGTTGATTTTGAAGCTTCAACATTCTTTGACTTGTTCAGGATCTCCAACTGCTTCCGGCAACTTGTAGGCATTGTTTTTTTGGCCTTTAAAACTTTCTGTCTTTTCCTGTCTGGACTTTCCATATTTTGTATCCTAAAATTTAAGATATATTTAACATGATACTTTGCCTCAAAAAACAGATTTAAATGCATTTCCCCAGTTAAATAGTTATAATAATATTAAACTAATACCAAAACTATCTCTCCATATTAATTATTTCTATTTGGGAGTTATATTCTAAACAGAAATAATTAGAGCCAAGATTTTAAATAGTAGGTGGTACTATAATGAAGACAGAGGGATCAATAGGACAGGCTTGAAACCGGAAAAAGCTTCACATACAACTATTTAACTTGTCTCAAAAATATTATCTGGACAAAGAAGAAAAAGACTGGTATTATAAAGGATTATATAGGATTCAAGTTTACTAGATAGGTATATGCAGAAAAAAACATACTTTACTCTTTACCTCACACCTTATCTTAAAATCAATTCCAAAATAATAGGTAACAGAAACAATAGCATAGTAACACTAGATGGGTCACATGTATAAACATGTATGAATGGTTAAAAGTTTGGGGAAGAAAATCAGACCTTTTTTTTTTGTTTTTGTACTACTCAGCAGAGAAAAAAAATGACATCATGAAATTTGCAGGAAAATGGATGGAACTAAAAAATATCATCCTGAGGGAGGTAACCGAAACACAGAAGGACAAACATGGTATGTACTCACTCATAAGTGGACACTAGATATAAAGCAAAGAACAATCAGACTGCAACCCACAGAACCAGGGAGGCTATATACCAGGGGGGACCCTGGGATGACTGTGGCTTATAATAAGTTTTGGTTTTACTCAATTAATGGACAAGCCTCAATTAATTAACCATTTCACTATTAGGATAAGAATTTATACTGTATGAAGCTGATAATAGAAAAATAAATAAATAAATAAATAAGAAAAAAAATTAACTGTCAGTGGTTATTAGTAATCACCCTTACAGGTTTACAATGAAAAAGTTCAAACAGAGCAAAAAGAAATAAAAAATGTACAGTATGAATAAAAAAAAATCACCAGGAAATTCAATTCTGGAGCCAAGGCTTGGCTGAAAGATATAAGGCCTACTGTGAAATGGAAAAAAGGGAATGTGCCCTCTTCAGGATAAGACCCCATCCATCTATCTAATCTTGCAACTTGTAAAGGTAAAAGGCCTGATTTTTTTTTTTTTATGCTTCTAAAAAACAACAACAAACTTCTGGGGATGTCTTTCTGTATGCTGTGAATGTGTTGTTCTGATTGATTGATAAATAAAATGCTGATTGGCCAGTAGCCAGATAGGAAGTATAGTATAGGTGGGATGAGCAGAGAGGAAGATGCTGGGAAGTGGAAGGCTGAGTCAAGAGACACTGCCAGCTGCTGCCGCCATGTAAGGATACCGGTGAGCCACGAGCCATGTGGCAAAGTATAGATTTATAAAAATGGGTTAATTTAAGATATAAGAACTAGATAACAAGAAGCCTGCCATGGCCATACAGTTTATAAGTAATATAAGTCTCTGTGTGTTTATTTGGGTCTGAGCAGCTGTAGGGCCTGGGCAGGACTGGAGAAATCTCCAGCTACAACAAACCAAAGCTTATGCAAAGTAATTCAAGGAGGGGGCAATGATTCACCTCAAGCAGGCAGCCAAACTCGGCAGTCTTGGCCATGTGGTTCTGACTTTAGAGTCATGAAGGAAATAGGAGATAAGGAATGTAGTGGTTTGAAAGAAAATGGCCCCCACAGGCCCAAAGGCAATGGCACTACTAGGTGTGGCTTATTGGAGGAGATGTGTCACAAAGGGTGGGCTTTGAGTTCTCAAAAGCTCAAGTAAGGCCTAGTGGCATTCTCTTCCTGCTGCCTATGTAGAACTCTCAGCTTCTCCAGTACCATGTGTGCCAGAATGCCTCCATGCTTCCCGCCATGACAATAACAGAATAAACCTCCAACTGTAAGCCAGCCACAATTAAATGTTCTCATGTATGAGTTGCCATGGTCATGATGTGTCTATATAGCAATAAAACCCTAACTAAGACAAGGGGGTTGTAGCATCTTCCTTTGCTGTAAGGAGAAACACTGAGACCAGGTATGTGGCAAAGGAATCCCTACATGGAGGCCCTAAGGGGCCATTTCACGAAGCTGTGAAAGGAAAGCCTGGTGTATTAGAGACCCCAGGATATTAAAGCACCAGAGCCATGAGACCATCTGCTAAGGAAAGCTACACACGGAGTGGAACCTGCACAAGGGAATGATGGGTATAACTAAGACACCTTGCAAATAAATATCACACACCTAAATTGAACCAAAGTCTATACAACTTAATGACCTTATATGCAGTTTAGACCTCTTCTTTAGCAAATGAAAAAGGTATAGTACAATTTTTCAATGAAATCATTTGACTTGGGGCCTTTTCTCCTAACTCAAGCTCATCCATTTTGGGAGCCCTACACAGGTTTTCTTGTTTTTAGTTTTTGTAATTTGTATCAGTTTGGGGATTCTTATATTTCATATAATAGCATAGCACACAGCTGTATTGTTCTGTAGTATTTCATTGTAATATTTTTAAAAATTTTTAAATGTTATGTGTATGAGGGTTTTGCCATCATGTTCCTGCCTCACTAAGTAATGAGTCTGCATTGGTTACATTTTGTTGCTGTCATCAGTGAGGGCTGTTTTGGCTTACAGTTTCAGGGGATGCAGCAGATGGCAGCAAAGAAGACATGGAGGTAGGAGGATATGATCACTGGTCCACATTTAGGAAACACAGAGCAGACAGGAAGTTGAGTTGGGCTATGAACCACAAGGTTCATTCCTAGAGATTCTGATTAATCCTGCAAGACTCTTGTCTGCTAAAAGATCCACAGCCCTCCAAAATAGGGCCAGTGGCTGAGGAAGAAGTGCTCAAACACATGATCCTATAAAATAGTGTTTTCCAATCTGTGGGTCAGGACCCATTTGGGAGTCAAATGATGTTTTCACAGGGGTCACCTAAGACCATCAGAAAACACAGATGTTTACATTATGATTCACAACAGTAGCAGAATTACAGTTTAGTTGGAGTCACCACAACATGAGGAACTGTATTAAAGGGTCACAGTATTATGAAGGTTGAGAATCACTGCTATAAGGGACATTTCACATTTCAAATGACAACATTCATTCCCTGACCCATAAGGTTATGGCCATTTCATAATGCAAAATGTATTTTAAAATCTCATAGTCTTTAACAGTCCAAACACTGTTCCAAAGTCCGAATCTCTTCTGAGACTGAAGCTAATCTGTCCTTTGTTTGAGACAGGGTCTTACTATGTAGCCCTGACTGATGTGAAACTCACAGTAGACCAGGCTGGCCTTGAACTCAGAGATCCATCTGCCTCTGCCGTACCACCATGCCCAGCTCTAGTCAATCTCTTAATTGTAGATTCCTGTAAAACAACAAAAAAGAACAAACTTGGGGCTGGAGAGATGGTCCTCAGTCCAATTCTCAGCAACCACATGGTGGCTCACAACCATCTACAATGAGATCTGGTGCCCTCTTCTGGCCTGCAGGCATACATGCAGGCAGAACACTGTATAATCAATAAATAAATCTTAAAAAAACCAAGTTACTTTCTGTAAACCTTGTCACAAGACTCCATGACCCAACACTCTTCCTTCCTCTATGCCTGCAAAACCAGTGCTATTTGGGCAACACTGTCACATTCTGCTACCACTTTGAGATGTAAAGTTCATAAGTACTAAGTCTGTAGTTGCATCAGTATTCTTTGACATCACAATCTGAAGAAATACTTTCCTAGTAGATTGTTTTCAAGTATGGAACCCTTCAACAGCATTCAAGTTAGGCCCTCCTTGAAATGAATGAGGACATCTCACATTTAAACCACCTCAATAAGTCAGGTGGTGGTGACTCACACCTTTAATCCCAGCACTTGGGAAGCAGAGGCAGGCAGATCTCTGTAAATTCAAGGCCAGCCTGATCTACAGAGTGAGTTCCAGAACTAAACAGTGAAACCCTGTCTCGAAAAACAAAAGCAAAACAACTACAACAAAAAGCAATTTGTACACCAGGATGGCCTCAGAGATATGCCTGCCTCTGCATCCCAAATGCTGGATAAATATGCCACCATGTCCTAGTTTTAGGACTGACCTAAAACTGTTCAGTGGAACTCAGTCATCCTCCTATGTGGTAGGATTATCTTAGCCCACGACACAGTATTTATGCTCAATTTTTGTGCAAGATACTACCAATAAATGCTTTCTAATACTATGATGTGGTGTTGTGTAAGTTTCCTCACAGGTGGAAACACTCCATCCTGCAGGGAAGTTCCATAAGTAGTAAACAACTGCTTAAGAAGTAGCAACTCAAAATAGCTTCAGGAGTCCCTGAAACTGCCCAGATCACTAGAATCTTCTGCCAGAAAAAGCAATCAAAGCTGGGAGTCACTGTGAGACTAGGCAAGCAGAGCTGCAAAGAAGATTCTAAGAATAAACAAAACCAGGTGAGCACCTAGCAGAGGTTTAGACCAACTGTGGCACCTGGAAATGCTGCTCTTCACCATGCTGAGCTCCTGCAGGGTATACAGTGTGCACCAGGTTCCCCAGCTTTGTGAGCTGTTACCTATAGTCAGGTAGACTTTGGTGATGCAGCTGTCTTTGAATCATTTCTACTATATATAATCCACCACCCATATTCCTTTAAGTAACTACAATAAAACAATGGTTCACCAAATTGGACTCTGGTGCTATCTAGTTTGGTTTATCATGGGTTCCCTATCTGGGTTGAGTGGACATGTGTGTTCTCTCCAGGAAAGGTTTTTGTTGGAGCCACCAGCTCTTCTGCATGGTCTAAGAAGCCCCAGCTCTCTCTCTCTCCAAACACTACCCTCTCAGAGAATCTCCAACAAAGGAAAGATGCCAAAGAGCCCAGTTCAGCATTCTTGGCAGCTGCTGCAGCTCCTTCCCTAAGTTGCCAGCAGCCCAAGTCCCCACCCACAGTGTTCAGCCTTTGACCACACTTGGACACAAACCCCACTTGTGGCAGACACATCATCACTCCTTGCCTGCAGGCTATATAACCTCCCTGCTTCAGTTCGGGTTCATGACTTCTCCCGCCTCGATTTCTAGGACTGGAGAATTCACCCTGGAACTGCTTTGCTCAAATAAACCTGTTCTTTTACTTTTTCAGTTCAGCTTCATCTGTGGAGAAACCTACTAGTTTTGTCTTACAGTATGTGGAAAATGTACACATATATATGGCCCAATGAGATCAATTTTCTTAATTGTTTTATTCATGAACTTCTACCTATAAAGTGAAATACCAAGAGTCTAGATTTGTGTACCTATTTTAATTTTCATATTACAATTTTGTGTGTGTGCCTGAGTGTATATATGTATACTATGTGTATGTAGTGACAGTAGACCAGAAGAGAGCATTAGAACCCTTGAACTAGAGTTGATCCCTTGGGACAACAGATAACCATGTGGATGCTGGAAACCAAACCCCGATCTGCAAAAGCACTGAGTGCTCTTAACTGCAAAGCCATCTCTCCAGTGCCGAAAATTACATTTACTTATTTAGTATGTGTGCCATGCCATGAGTGTGTGCATGAATGTGTGTGTGTGTGTGTGTGTGTGTGTGTGTGTGTGTTGCTGTAAGTACACCTTGTGGTAGCTGGTACCCTTTTTCTATTATGTGGATCCAGGAATCAAACTCATGTAGTCAGGCTTGGTGGCAAGCATTTCTACATGCTAAGTCATCTTCTTCAAATGTATTTTTAAATTTTTACTATTAAATAGTATTGCTATTAAAATAGTTAATCTTGGCGGGCAGTGGTGGCGCATGCCTTTAATCCCAGCACTCAGGAGGCAGAGCCAGTTGGGAGTTAGAGGCCAGCCTAGTCTACAGAGCAAGATCCAGGACACAGAGAAACCCTGTCTTGAAAAACAACAACAAAAAGTAACCCTTTACTATTCAGTCTCATTTCTGAAAAGTAAAAACTTTAAGATGTCAGCTAAGCTAATTGTGTTGAAGCCTCATCGTTCAGAGCTAATATTTAAAGTCAAAGTCAGAAAGTATTATTGAAGAAACAGAATTGCTTTAGCAGGCATACAATTGTCAACAGGATAGCAAAAGCTCTTCTTAGAGAGCAAGTATTGGTAGGTGACCTGAACATGAACCGTTCCTTTTAAGTCTGGTCCGTGGAATGGCATATGGCTTCAGGACCATGTGAGCACCACATACCTTTGCCTTCACTTTTACATTCATCAATTTAAGAGTATGAAACGAATATAAAACGTTCATATAAAGCTGGGCAGTGGTGGCACATGCCTTTAATTCCAGTACTTGGGAGGCTGAGACAGGTGGATCTCAGTGAGTTTCGAGGCCAGGCTTGTCTATAAAGTAAGTGCCAGGACAGCCAGAACTGTTACACAGAGAAGTCATGTCTCAAACAACAACAACAACAACAAAAAGTTCATATAAAATAAGTCACGCCGGGCGGTGGTGGCGCACGCCTTTAATCCCAGCACTCGGAAGGCAGAGCCAGGTGGATCTCTGTGAGTTCGAGGCCAACCTGGGCTACCAAGTGAGTTCCAGGAAAGGCGCAAAGCTACACAGAGAAACCCTGTCTCGAAAAACAAAAAATAAATTAAATAAATAAATAAATAAATAAAATAAATCACTTTCTAGCACTCCACTCCTTAATGTCTGGTGACAATCATTTAAACTAATTTTAATTTAATTTTAAAATCTGTTTAGGTCCAAGAATGGTGGTTCAGGCCTTTAGTCCCAGCACCTAGGAGGCTGAGGTAGGTAGATCTCTGTGAGTTAGAGGCCAGTCTGGTCTCCATACCAAGTTCCAGGCTAGCCAGGACTACCAAGGCCTGTCTTTAAAAAAAGACAAGAAAAAAAGGAAAGATTGTGTCTGATAAATGAGGGGGTCACACATGCCCTTGTGTTGGAGACGCAGGGTGTGTCAGAAGACACCTTGTTGGAGCTGGTCTTCAACCAGGTAGATCCAGGGGGTGGAACTGAGGAGTCAAGGCTGGGCAGCAAGTACCCAAGGTGCTATTTTGCCAGCCTTGGTTTTGTTTTGTTTTTTTAACCTTTGTATGAGTGCATATGTGTTTGCTTGCTCCCAGCAGATATCCACAGCTGCCTTTCTCAATGGTGATACACTATTGTGGTCTCTGCCTTTAAAATTTTAAAACAAACTGAAGGTAAGGGCTGCTCCCCCACTACTCTGCCTGGGACAGCCCTGCGGGTGGTGAATAAAGGCTCCACATAATTTGACTTATTCAGGGCGGGGGGTCGGGGGGTGGGGGGGTCTCTCCTCAGGTACTCCATAAAACCTCGGAGCAGCAAGCCCAAGGTGCCAGTCTCTTTTAGCACACTGGTCCAAAGATGCTAGTCTCCCTGTGCTGTCGGTCCGTCTACACAAGTCAGGACCACAGGGCACGCTCCAGGGAACTGTTCCGGCACCTGCCTTTTTCAGATCAAACCCACCGCACCTCCGGGCCCGACCAGCGGATACAGACGTTGGAGGTGAGCTGCACCGCACCAGCTCACCTGGCGTCCGGCAGCAGCCATTCCCGCCGCCGCGACCCCCATCCCATCCTAGCCCACCCCACCCCCACCCCGCGT